TTCGCGTAGCACTGTTGCACAATGGCCAATTTGTAGGGGTGAAAGCGGAGATCCATATGCAAAATTCGCCTTACCGAACGATCACTAAGGCGAAGTGCAGCAGCATGTTTCCGGGCAGATCGAGTCGGACTGCGAAGAAAGACCTGTCGAACGCGTTCAACATTTTCAGGAGTTCGAACTGTTCGCGGCGCCCCTCATGGTCGTCTGTTGATCAGTTCACCACGATGAATAGCAATAAACTTTTTGTATCCCGGATGCTGTCGTTCGGGACAATGTTCTTGTTACAACCGCGTTACTGCTCGTGCATTGCAGCTTGTTGCTCCGTATGCCAAATGCATATCCGCCAATTCTTGATTGGTAAACTTTTCCATTAGCAACAATTAATTTTTGTTAAATTCTGGCAAACTTCACAAATACGATGCGGCGATATGGAACGCAGCTACAAAAAACAATCTCTGTTATCGAAGATAACTGATCAACAGCCAAAAAATATCCTAAATAAAATCAACAAAATATTACTATTTTTAATGTGCTAAAACCGGAATGAAACTTATTTTTTCAATATTAGTTCAAATTTTAGAGATACGGTAATTATATGTGTTCCTGCTGTGACAGTGTTAATATACTGTAATTCACAAGAATGCACGTTTTTACATTTTTATATTCGGCAAGGAAAGATGATGTTATCGGCATGATTGTGTTACGTTATACATACGTGTACATTATATTGTTTATAATAGCCATTTTTTCCTCAGTTGGCTGACAGCGTTCATGCAAGATGTCTCGAAAGTGTGTAAACAATCCAGATCAGTTTTGTTACGTGTGTGGTGATGTGACTTTTGCGTCTCAGAGACGGTCTATTACTCCACTAATAACAAAGGCATATTAGCTTTATTTCGGTTGTAAACTAGGTGATCAAGACAAACAGTGGGCACCCCACATCTGCTGTAATAGATGTGCATCAAGTCTGAGGAGCTGGTTAAATGGCAAAAAACGGTCTATGCGCTTTGCTGTCCCAATGGTTTGGAGAGAGCCTACAAATCATATTAATGATTGTTACTTTTGCATGGTACCTTGTGTTGGACAAGCCACAGGTATGTCCAAGAAAAAAAAATCGGTTATTAACTACCCAAACATATCATCTGCGATGAGACCTGTGCCTCACAGTGACGAAAATCCTATTCCAAAACCCCCAGAATCCTACACTTGTGAATCAGAAAACGAATCAGATCATGGCGATCGAGTGATTCGTGAGGAAGAAGATATGCCATCAACGTCAAGAGATCCTGATTTTATACCGAGCACGTCATGCCACCAACCGCACAAAATAACACAGTCAGAATTAAATGATCTTGTAAGAGATTTAGAACTTCCAAAATGTAAGGCAGAGTTACTTGGATCAAGACTGCAGCAGTGGAACTTGTTAGAAGACGATGTTTCGGTATGTGTTTTTCGTAAACGCCACAAAGACTTAGAACCATTTTTCAATATGGAGAATAACTTGGTTTTCTGCAGTAACATTAATGGCTTACTGGCGGCTTTAAATATAAACTATAACCCAGAAGAATGGAGATTGTTTATAGACAGTTCAACATTGAGTTTAAAGGCAGTGTTATTGCATATTGGAAATATTTTACCATCTCTTCCTGAAGGGTATGCAGTTCACATGAAAGAATCATATGACAATATGAAGTACCTATTGACATGCATAAATACGATGAGCACCAATGGCATATTTGTGGCGATTTGAAAGTTGTTGCACTTTTACTTGGGCTGCAGCTAGGCTACACAAAGTTTTGCTGTTTTTTGTGTGAATGGGACAGTCGGGCAAAGGCACTTCATTACACCAGACAAAACTGGCCTGTTCGTCAATTCCTAGAGCCTGGTCAAAACAATGTACAGCATATGCCATTAGTACATTCGAAAAAAAATTTATTAAAACCACTGCATGTCAAGTTGGGTCTAATGAAAAACTTTGTCAAGGCATTATATCAGTCAGTTTTTCAATACCTGCGTCAGAAATTTCCAAGACTAAGTGAGGCAAAGGTTAAAGAAGGTATCTTCACTTTAACAGGTATTGAAAAAACTGCTTGGAATGTTTTCCGTCTGGTGGTCACTAATTTCTTGGGAAATAGAAAAGTTGACAACTATAAAACCCTTGTCAAAAATATGCTGTCATCGTATCAAAAGATGGGCTGTAATATGTCTCTTAAGACACATTTCCTACACTCACACCTGGACTTTTTTCCTGACAATTGCGGCGCCGTAAGTGATGAGCACGGCGAACGTTTTCATCAGGATATTTCAACAATGGAAAAAAGGTACCAGGGAAAGTGGAATCTTTCCATGCTTGCAGACTACTGTTGGACTCTTGGTAGAGATGCTTCAAAAACGATCCATAAAAGAACAGCAAAAAGACAGCGCATATAGTGATTCTTATAAGTATATGAATCTTGTTACTTTTTTAATATATCCTTAAAAATAAAAAGTTTTTTTTCTAAACCGCAACTAATTTTTTTATTTCATTGTCATATTTGGATTCAGCGCCCCAAAATTAACAAAGAAGTGCACTTTCCCACAAGATACAATTAAAAAACTAAAATTTGTTGTCCAGTGAATAGGTTACTTGCACGCCCCCCTCCACTTCCACTTTGGCCACGATCACCGCGTGCTCTGATTGGCGGATCAGACGGCGGTAAAATTTGAACGGGGTTGAGGGTATATGTTGATTGGTGGGCCGGCGCTAGATGGCGCACCCGACCGGAAGTGATCCAGACAGCCGACGGACGGCTGCCGATCGCCTTATCAGTGTTGTTGTGTTCAGCTGCGGTTACGATGATAGTAAGGTGTAGTATACAGGGGGTCGGGTGCGTTGGTAATCTCGTCGCAAATAAGGTTAGGTATACTATAACTATCTAAAACTGTAATGACTCATCGATGTTCACGTGAACATCACTTAACTACCAGTAGTCGGCTGTTCATAGGTGGGTATGAATGTTTAACATGGGTGAACTAGATTTGTCACATGCTTAATAAAGAGTAGTTTGAAACATATTGTAAGTCAAAAATTTGGGAATTACCTTTATTCATCGTCGCTTCCACTTACATCTGACAGTAATAAACTGTGGCTATCGCTTTCCTCGTTGAAATTGACTATAACTGGCTCTATGATGGTGTCGATGTGGTGGTCAAGCTGCCACATTTTTGTTTCTTCCTTCACAACATGACGGATAGCATTCTGCCAAGCTTCGGGCGTTACTAGCTGTATGGAAGTCTCAAGTAAAACCTTAACGTCTGGTAATTTGAAGGTTGTGTTATGGCGCGCAATATAACCCTTCACTTGAGCCCAGATGAGCTCTATTGGGTTCAGTTCACAGTGGTAGGGCGGTAAACCGCAGCACAGTGACACCACATTGACGGGCCATCTCATCAGTCACGTAACTAATGTTCGCAGGTTTGTGCTATTTAATTTTTTCATACAATTCCGCTTTCACACATGAATCGTCAAACGGGATTCCTTTTTCGCGCAACCATTGCTGCATGTCACTTTTTCGAGATCCCATAGTCGGTACACGATCGGCTCGACGACTATGGTAGGAAGCATTATCCATGACGATCACAGAGTTGGGCTCAACTCGCTGAAGCACCCCTTGAAACCAGCTCTCGAAGCAGCTGGCATTCATTTCGTCATGGTAATCACCCTCCTTTCTTAGAGACGAAAATCAAGTCACACTCTTCTAAAAAGCCACTATCGCTACCAATATGAGTTACGATCAATCTTTGACCTTTCCCTGACGGTCCACGAAGACCTGTTGACAAACCTTCAATGCTTGCTTGTCGGTTACTCACTACGTTTTTGTCTATCCAGGTTTTTTTAACTGTGTGACTTGCATTTACCCATGTCTCGTCCAAATAATAGATTTTTCTGCTTTGTCGCCTATATTCAATCATTTCGCGTAGGTATTTTCGACGCCAGGCGACTATTTCAGGTCTCTCTATCAATACTGACTTCCGATTACGCGTTTCGTAACGAAAATTAATTTCGTGCAGGGATTTCCTCATTACCTCGACGCTCATTTGGGGTATAATTTCATTTTCCTTGATCGCTGCATGTACAGCCTTGAGGGTTGGTATCTCATTCCTAAAGAAGAATGAATGTACGGTTCGCCTTAACGCCATTTTGCTATCGTCATCCAATTTAACGGTCTTTCGTCCCTTCAAATTAAACTTTGGATCAGTAGTAGCTCCAGTTTTCTTCTTTTCATGCACCACCCTGCGAATGGTCCACTCTGGAACGCCTGTCATACTTTCACAACGCGCGAGTGCATCTCCCTGCGACATAGTTCTGTTCAGATAATTGAACACGTTGAGCACGATTTCTTCCGCGTCCCTCTTCAGTGCTTTACGAAGCCGTCTACTTGTTCCCTGGCTTTCAGTAGTTCCACTCGTGCCATTTGTACTCTCCATGGTTAAGTATAACCAAAACAGTAACCACAGAAACCACAACAATAACAATCACACAACAATTCTTATAAAACACACAATATGCGATCGCTCAACGAAACACGTTCCAATGCGTTGCCGATGCCTATGAGTCTACCGGTCGAGGCACGTCTTTGATTTCATTGGTTCTACCGGCGGAGAACAATCAGCCATTATTTCCATCTCTGTCTGTGCTGTTGACCACCGCAAAGCCACCGAAACGACATATGTCGTACGCTATACGGCTGTACTGGAAGGAAGCCGGGATCGAGCTCTGATCACGTGTTGATCACGCGTATGAGTCATTACAGTTTTAAATAGTTGTAGTATAGATAGTCGTTCAGCGCAGGTGTTGTCGTAGCAATGATATGCAAGTAGTACACCGCGTAAAGATAACAACACACAAGTGCCTATACTCAAATGTTTTCTACTGTTACACTGAATAACCTCTACAATTTTTATCCCATAGTTCTGGAACACCCTGTATATGCCGGAATAACACGTATCTGTTAACCTACCTTTCCTCTTGGCCAGTTGCATCTGTCGCCCACCATCGCAAGGCAGTACGGGCTATCCGTAGGCGGAGTGGTTTGGTACATCCAATCGAACTGAGACATTTGCATGTATCCGCTCAACGAGGGTATGTCGCTGATTTCGTTTTCATCTCCTCCGGCTTCTATCAGCAGTATGGACCAGTTGCCTACCTCGGAGAGCCTCGAAGCTACGACGGCTCCCGCACTGCCTCCTCCCACGACAATAAAATCGTATTCAGGCTGGAGCTGTATTGAAAAGAAGAACATTTTTAGTCAAACCTGGAGCTGTTCAGGAATCTTGAAATATTGGAATATACAGGGTGTAAACGTTCTGGTAGTCATTATTGAAATGGGTAATAGTGGGGTCAAAACAAGTCAAAAAGTTCATATGACCCATGATCCAAAAGTCAATAGATTTTTGTCTAAACGGCTTTATAGTTTACAATTTTAAGTACTTTATATCGACCACAAGCACCACAGTCTTACTAATTTTTATAATCTAATCTAAAACGTTTTTAAATTGGATAATTAACAAATAAATGGCATTAAGTTTTTCTAAGTTGAGCCAAAATTTGTAGTCAGTAAGTTTCATTAAATTGAATATTTAAAACACACATGACAACAGCGCGTCGGTCATCATCACTCTTATCGAACCGGCAATCGATCGCGAACGGTAACAGTGGTTAGTATGTTGTTTTGTTTTTGTTCGCGTACATCGTCGTGTTGACTTACAATGTTCTCGAATCAAGAGTTCGCGGACTTGTTGTTAGTTTACGGTAAAGCTCGTCAGAATTCAAATCTTGCAGAAGAAAGACCTGTCGAACTCGTTCAACATTTTCAGGAATTCGAACGAACAGTTCACGACGCCTGCGAAGTGATTCAACCCAACGAAGGATGGTGTTTCGAGAGGGAACAGCTCTATTCCGATGAATGTTGAAGTGGCGACGAAACTCACGCTGTACGACGATGACTGACTGATTATTTCGGACGAAACAATCATAGGCGAAAACGCGGTGCTCCACCCTCCAAGGCTCCATAACGACAACTGGTAAAATAATGCTAGGATCTCACGAGTCAAACGGCACCCTCCCCACCTCTCTCGTAGACGCTGGCGGAGCGTACTACCCATCCCAAAAACGTCCGTCCTCTCTGCCGCACCCTGTATTTGAGCGGGTATTCTTGACGATCGGGTAATTGGCCCTTTCGAGTTACCCCCAAAGTTGTCAGGAGAAGAACACCTTAGCTTTCTAGCCAATAACTTTTGGAACAGAACTTAGACAACATGCCATTACAACGGAGACAGAATTTGCGACCCATATCCGAATGTTATGACGGTTCACCCTTCCACTTAAATGAAATGTCGCTTCGTCGCTGAATACCAGACAGTTAGCAAATTCGTCGTCTTCCATTGCCTCCTGCATGTTAGAGGAAAAATCAAGTCGCTTTACGTGGTCGTCAGGTCGTAAGCTTTGTAGCATCTGTAGACGGTACGTTTTGAGCCGCAATTGTTTCCGCAAAATTTTCGATACGGTTGGCTGGGGAATACCAAGTTCACCTCCTGCTCTGCTAGTGGGCTGTCGCGGAGAACGCGTGAAACTGTGTCCACCATTTCGTCAGGAACTCGTGGTCTTCCGGTACTTTTACGTTTAGTAATGCAACCTGTCTTCTTGAATTGTCGATACCATCGTAGAATGCTCTGATGACCTGGAGAATCAGTTCCATACCGACGTCAGAATGCACGTTGCACTGTAACAACTGATAAACATCGCGCGTGCTCTAACACACAAAACGCTTTCTGCTGCATCGTCGCCATTTTGCATACTGAGCTCGTGGCACCACCTAGGGAGGTAAAGCGGCGTTCGCAAGCACGTGCTTTAAACTCGAACATTTTCCTTTTCTAGTGATATGTCATTTGATATTATATTCGCAATACTCTCTGAAATATAAATTTTTAAAACCCGATGATTCTTTTGTAATAACCCTGTACTTAGATAAATTCACATACCAAATGTTAGATCATCCAGATGTTAAAAAAATGTTTTTTATTTTTAAACTTCAACACCCCATGTGTTTTTAATGAAACCCTGGAGAAAAAAATGTTACATAGAAGACCTCCCTTGAAATGCGGTCCTGTGTATGGTCACGCCTTGTGAATCACCCTGTATACTTACATATCTAGTATTGACGGGATGTCCTTCGGGATCCACAGCCATGTATCTCATAAACGCTAGTCCTGCAGCAAATACTGGAACCAATCCTATGATCGTAAGAGGATTTAGCGATAAACCAGTAGCCGCGAATTGTGCTGCGTATCCTATCGCTGCTAACATCGACATCTTTCTCAGTATCTGGTCGAACCTGAAAGCAATGATTAGTCAATACATTTCTATGTACACATTTGTCATTGTACTTGGAAAAGGCCACCGCGATTGCAGACACGTCGTACAATAAACAGAAATTAAAACCAGTCATTGAATATACTGGTACTTTTTTCCGTTCTACCAAAAGACGCTCAACCATGGACAGCTGTTTCGTGCTTCTGGGCTACTCATCAGCATAGTCTAGGCTTGGTCAAATGAACGAAAGCGCTACTGCGGCAAGCGAATAGCTGCTATTAGGGATCTCAGTTCGCGTTCAATAGCCGAGTCACCACGTGACCGCTAGATGGCTGAAGATTCTGGCTGTAAAGTAGGTGTGTTCTGGTTGCGATTGCAGCTTGAGATACTTTATTGTACAAATCCTGAAAATGGGTCATCTTTTTTTTCATCCCTGGCAAGAAGAATATAGGTCCAGAGTTTTATAATAATAATAATAATAATAATATTTATCTACTCAATGTACAAAGATAACAAACAATATGAGTAAATAAATATAAAATCAAAACAGGCCTAATAGAAGGCATCGCCTGTACATGGACCAATAATTTAAGTTGAAACTGTAGAATGCAAATGACAAAAAGGACAAAAATTAGCTACAGTAGATTATGTATTTAGTTGATGTTCGTATTTATGAGTTTATGAATTTCAGTCCTAGATATAGAATGTAGCCACTTTTTTAAATTTCTTTTGAAACAATTTCCGAAACGTAAATCTTTTAAGTCTTTAGGTATAATTTCATAAAATTTAGGCGCTAAATAGAGATATGATCGCTGCATTATAGATTTATGTGGTTGAGGAACTACTGTGCCACGAATTTTGTACCTGGTATAATGATTATGTTTAATTTTTGGTCGGTGTTTACAAATTTATGGTAGTGAGTGATACTGTGTAAGAAATAAAGCTGTCTTATATCATACATTCGAACATCTGCGTATAATTTTTCAGTGGGATAAAGTTTCGGTTTTTTAAATATCATTTTTAGAATACTTTTTTGAAAAACATCTAAATTATAGATATGTGAGGAACATGCAGCTCCCCATGCTAATATACCATATGTGAGATGAGGCTCAATCAGTGCATGGTATAATGTTCGAAGATATTTTTCTGTCAATATATTCCCAAGGTATTTAATTTTGTAGGATACAAATCTAACTTTCTTTAAAATATAATTGACATGGATGTCCCATCGTAAGTGAGGATCCAAGACCACTCCAAGGTATTTTATGTTGGGCACTCTATTAATTTGCATTTTTTGATCATTAATATTGAAGGAGAAATTTGTGTAATTTGGCAGATGTCTAACATAAGATCCAAATGGTAAAAAATGTGTTTTAGAGTAGTTAATGCTTAATTTTCTACTGTTAAACCAATAATTTTGATAAAATCATTTTCAATTACATTTTTCAGATCAGACCAGTCAGTGCCTTCATATAATATTGCAGTATCATCTGCAAAACTAGTTATTTTGCCAACACAATTAATTTGGAAAATATCATTTAAATATATATTGAATAACAGCGGACCTAAGACAGTTCTCATGCTTTGCTAATTATTGTATTTTCTCTTCCAGGTACGTTACAGCCTCCAGGCTTTTCAGATAACCATATATATCTTGAAGGTAAGATATCGTGTTGTGATATTTTATCATCGGATAAATATTGATAAAACCAATGTACTATAGTGATTAGTTATGATGTTATTTAGAACTCTTCCCACCATACGATCAGTTAGTACAATGTGTTTTGTCCAATAACTTAAGATGCAACCATTTCGACACCTTAGACTGAAACTTGATATAGTAGATCTAAAATAAAACTGAACTCCGGAAAGAAACATGTCTCCCAGTTCACCTGAAGACGGATGAAGATACCTTCTCAATCGAAATCGTAACTCGGATTCTTTTCTAGGCAATGGAGGTCCTAAATCTTTTAGAAGTTCACCTTTCATTAATCATTTTTACTTGCTGCAAAATTCTTAAATTCTTTCAATTCGTAATTCCTGCACAACAGGTCAATTATTTACGCACAATTTGATATAATCTGTTTTATAATTTTGACATCCCCTACTAGAAGGAATCATGCCTCCAGGTCTACACGAAAAATTAATGTTTGCTTTATGAACTATGGTCCAAAAATGTGATAATTTATACTTTTCTTGTGAAATTCATCTGACCACTCAAATAGCAATTAACCTATATCTTCGTTCATAGTTATAAATCTCTATAAATCGGAATCTAAAATGCCGCTTTATAATCTCCTGTCCAATTAAACATTTTATACCAGGCTTTTTCCCACCGTCCAACGAACGTTTGTTGATAGTATTTAGATGCAATCAGGTCTTGAGGGCATAACGGTACGTTGGTTGTGGCTTATTGAATTTTTAGTGCTCATTATGGTAAGTTCGATATTAGAATTTGCCTACAACGAATCCTATTAAAGAATATAATCCGCTATTTATGATTCATTTTGAAGTGAAGCAAACTTTTGAACTGTATAATTTTGCTCCCGTGGTCTTCTAGAGATGTTTTTAAATAATCGGAATTTCTGAACTCAGGTATACACATATCACAAAATCCATATCGCATTTTAATCTCGCTACTACATATTTCAAAAACTGCGCATTAGAGAGGAAAATATTCAAACAAAACTTCTAGGTTTTCGAAAAGGTAAAATGATGAATCTCCACAAACATCAAAACTGCGCTGTCGAACATTTTTGTTACAGCAAATTGTTTTTGATGTCTTGATTTGACCTTGAAATGAACTTAGAGGTCCTGGTCCAGGTCATTGTCTAGGTCACCCTCATTTTGTCCCCCTGCAATTTTTGTTTGAAACTTCTAGGTTTTCGAAAAGGTAAAATGATGATCTCCACGAATATCAAAACTGTGCTGTCGAACATTTTTGTTACAGCGAATTGTTTTTGATGTCTTGATTTGATCTTCAAATGAACTTAGAGGTCCTGGTCATGGTCATTGTCTAGGTCACCCTCATTTTGTCCCCCTGCAATTTTTGTTTGAAACTTCTAGGTTTTCGAAAAGGTAAAATGATGATCTCCACGAATCATCAAAACTGTGCTGTCGAACATTTTTGTTACAGCGAATTGTTTTTGATGTCTTGATTTGATCTTCAAATGAACTTAGAGGTCCTGGTCAAGGTCATTGTCTAGGTCACCCTCATTTTGTCCCCCTGCAATTTTTGTTTGAAACTCTAGGTTTTCGAAAAGGTAAAATGATCTCCATAAACATCAAAACTGCGCTGTCGAACATTTTTGTTACAGCGAATTGTTTTTGATGTCTTGATTTGACCTTGAAATGAACTTAGAGGTCCTGGTCAAGGTCATTGTCTAGGTCACTCTCATTTTGTCCCCCTGCAATTTTTGTTTGAAACTTCTAGGTTTTCGAAAAGGTAAAATGATGATCTCCACAAACATCAAAACTGTGCTGTCGAACATTTTTGTTACAGCGAATTGTTTTGGATGTCTTGATTTGACCTTCAAATGAACTTAGAGGTCCTGGTCAAGGTCATTGTCTAGGTCACCCTCATTTTGTTCCCTGCAATTTTTGTTTGAAACTTCTAGGTTTTCGAAAAGTTAAATGATGATCTCCACAAACATCAAAACTGCGCTGTCGAACATTTTTGTTACAGCGAATTGTTTTTGATGTCTTGATTTGACCTTGAAATGAACTTAGAGGTCCTGGTCCAAGGTCATTGTTTAGGTCACCCTCATTTTGCCCCCTGCAATTTTTGTTTGAAACTTCTAGGTTTTCGAAAAAGGTAAAATGATGATCTCCACTAACATTAAAACTGCGCTGTCGAACATTTTTGTTACAGCAAATTGTTTTTGATGTCTTGATTTGACCTTGAAATGAACTTAGAGGTCCTGGTCAAGGTCATTGTCCTAGGTCACCCTCATTTTGTCCCCCTGCAATTTTTGTTTGAAACTTCTAGATTTTCGAAAAGGTAAAATGATGATCTCCAAAAACATCAAAACTGTGCCGTCGAACATTTTTGTTACAGCGAATTGTTTTTGATGTCTTGATTTGACCTTGAAATGAACTTAGAGGTCCTGGTCAAGGTCATTGTCTAGGTCACCCTCATTTTGTCCCCCTGCAATTTTTGTTTGAAACTTCTAGGTTTTCGAAAAGGTAAAATGATGATCTCCATAAACATTAAAACTGTGCTGTCGAACATTTTTGTTACAGCGAATTGTTTTTGATGTCTTGATTTGACCTTGAAATGAACTTAGAGGTCCTGGTCAAGGTCATTGTCTAGGTCACCCTCATTTTGTCCCACTGCAATTTTTGTTTGAAACTTCTAGGTTTTCGAAAAGTTAAAATGATGATCTCCACAAACATCAAAACTGCTGCTGTCGAACATTTTTTTACAGCCAATTGTTTTTGATGTCTTGATTTGACCTTGAAATGAACTTAGAGGTCCTGGTCAAGGTCATTGTCTAGGTCACCCTCATTTTGTCCCCATGCAATTTTTGTTTGAAACTTCTAGGTTTTCGAAAAGGTAAAATGATGATCTCCACAAACATTAAAACTATGCTGTCGAACATTTTTGTTACAGCAAATTGTTTTTGATGTCTTGATTTGACCTTGAAATGAACTTAGAGGTCCTGGTCAAGGTCATTGTCTAGGTCACCCTCATTTGTCCCCCTGCAATTTTTGTTTGAAACTTCTAGATTTTCGAAAAGGTAAAATGATGATCTCCAAAAACATCAAAACTGTGCTGTCGAACATTTTTGTTACAGCGAATTGTTTTTGATGTCTTGATTTGACCTTGAAATGAACTTAGAGGTCTTGGTCAAGGTCATTGTCTAGGTCACCCTCATTTTGTCCCCCATGCAATTTTGTTTGAAACTTCTAGGTTTTCGAAAAGGTAAAATGATGATCTCCACAAACATTAAAACTGTGCTGTCGAACATTTTTGTTACAGCGAATTGTTTTTGATGTCTTGATTTGACCTTCAAATGAACTTAGAGGTCCTGGTCAAGGTCATTGTCTAGGTCACTCTCATTTTGTCCCCCTGCAATTTTTGTTTGAAACTTCTAGGTTTTCGAAAAGGTAAAATGATGATCTCCACAAACATCAAAACTGTGCCTGTCGAACATTTTTGTTACAGCGAATTGTTTTTGATGTCTTGATTTGACCTTCAAATGAACTTAGAGGTCCTGGTCAAGGTCATTGTCTAGGTCACTCTCATTTTGTCCCCCTGCAATTTTTGTTTGAAACTTCTAGGTTTTCGAAAAGGTAAAATGATGATCTCTACAAAGCATCAAAACTGTGCCGTCGAACATTTTTGTTACAGCGAATTGTTTTTGATGTCTTGATTTGACCTTCAAATGAACTTAGAGGTCCTGGTCAAGGTCATTGTCCAGGTCACCCTCATTTTGTCCCCCTGCAATTTTTGATTGAAACTTCTAGATTTTCGAAAAGGTAAAATGATGATCTCCAAAAACATCAAAACTGTGCCTGTCGAACATTTTTGTTACAGCGAATTGTTTTTGATGTCTTGATTTGACCTTGAAATGAACTTAGAGGTCCTGGTCAAGGTCATTGTCTAGGTCACCCTCATGTTGTCCCCCTGCAATTTTTGTTTGATAACTTCTAGGTTTTCGAAAAGTTAAAATGATGATCTCCACAAACATCAAAACTGCGCTGTCGAACATTTTTGTTACAGCAAAGAAAATGCTATCTTCAGATGCAGTAAACGTAATAATCATTTCATTAGGACTAAGTGGTTCATCTATGTAGCATGAAGCATAATAATATCACAGCGTAGTATCCTTTTGTTTTCAATGTGCAGTAGAAGCTTTTTAAATGACGGTTGCTCGCTTACGCGTGAAAAGTCTCACTGAATGCCATGCGTAATTTCAATTTGTTGTTTTGCTAGAGAGGTCGTAACTTCTTTCACGAAAGGATACTTTGCGCATAAAGTTGAATGATAATGATTCAGGTTGCGCTTTGAGCAATTACATTTACACTTTTCATTCATAAAGGTAAATACTTAATGTTGACTTGAGGCTTGAGTTAGTAGTGATGGTAGACATTTCACGAACTGTGATTTAGTATCTCATATTTCTAAATCTATTACTTGAAGTCGAGAATCGTATGCCACCTGTAATCTAAACATTATTTGAAAGTCCTGATCACGTCACGGTTTTAAGTCATTAATATCAAAAAGTAACGATATCAGATATCACAGATATTAAATAACGATATCATCCATCTCTATAAGTAGAGAATACTCACCATAGGTTACACTCAATTCTTCAATGGTTTTCTTTCCAGCACTAGTGCGGTAACTTAAAATTCTTCAAATGACACTGCACTGTGCACAACATTTCACTTTTTCTGTCAAATCCACATTCCTAGGTTGACCTCTTGATTCAAGCTCTTCGGTGTGTAGTTCCGTATACTCACCTTCTTTCTCTGAAACCTGAACAAAATCGTTCGGACTTAGTCTTTTGATAAATTCTAGTGTCATCTTATAATAAATTCAGTTTCTTTATGCACGTTTCATGCGTCCAAAAGCATCTAAGGTGTTTTGGGGATTGGAGATTCAATGCTATTAAAACCTTTATTTTTTAAGAAAACGAGTAGCATTAAAATTAAAACCAACAAAACCACTTTCTTATTCAGGGACCGATGCACCATTTCCTCTTCAACAAAATTGGATTTACCTAAAAAAATTGCTAAACAGGTAAACTCGGATTTTATCATAGATGATTGTATCGAGCGAAGAAACGAGGTGTACTACCCATTGTTGGTGTATCCTAAAAATTTCATATCCTGAAGATGCCTGGAAATTCTTTCTCTCCTCGAGATTCCTGAAATATAGCGTACCCAGCTGTTTTGGACTTTTTGTATTCGGAAAGCCTCCTGTTGAGTTAGAGAGAGATCAATTACATAATCAGCATACTCTAGCTTCCTTAGGATTATGCTGTTAGTTATTTTAGAATCTTTAAATAGAATATTTTCAAAACTGTAAATAGATTTCAACTTGGTATAACGTCATTTCATGAGTAACAAATTATTCTGTATACACATATCTTACAAAATTTATTGACAATAAATTCGGGAAAATTGTTTAGCGTCGTATTCTGGTGTTACTTGTTATCAAACACTTTTGGTGACAACAGCTGTCAAGTTTTGCCGCTGGTGAACTCGAAAAAACTGCTGATAGGTGCTGTCATACAATTTTTCCATCTAGAAACCATTTGTAATTCAAAATTGTGCGTTTGTGATTGGTAGAAATTAAGACGATGGAAATAGTGACTTAACCAACTGAACTTTGTAAAAACGCCATTGCTCAGCCAGTTACGTTATTGCCCGATTCATCTACAGGGTGTTCCATAATGATATGCTAATATTTAAGGGTGTGAATCTACATGAAAAATTAATGTTAGTTTGTTTTATAAACTATGGTCCAAAAATGTTTCCTTACAAAAACTGGGGGTGTTGAAGTTTTAGGAAAAAAAATTGAAATTAATTAATATTTTCAGAACCGCCTTTTTACTGATATTTAGTACGTAGTGTAAGTTAGTAAAGTTGCATATTTTTCAATGCAAAAATAATTTTTAGCTTTAACAGTGGCGTGTGTACGGGTATTTACTTCGATATTTTTTAAGAAAAAAATGGTACGCTAATGGTTTTTTGCCATATAAAATTATTTTTTAATTCCCCGTTCAATTTAAAACAAATGATCTCTCTTGAATTGTTTTCCTTCGATACGCCATTTTTGAGTAAAAAATTGTCTAACTTGCAAAATTATTATTAATTTAATTGGAAAAATTAAAGACAATAGAGGTAATGAATAATGCATGCTAAGTGAATGGGGCCATTTTCAACAATTTTTGTAATCATTTCGTTGGTTTTAATGTTATGTTTATGTTGTCAGTTGTTGTGGTTCATTACCCCTAATGTGTTTAATTTTTCCAATTAAATAATAATTTTGCAAGTTAGACAATAGAACGGTTTTTTTACTCAAAAACGGCGCATCGAAGGAATACAATTCAAGAGAGATCATTTGTTTTAAATTGAACGGGGAATTTAAAAATAATTTTTATTTGACAAAAAACCATTAGCGTACCATTTTTTTTTTTAAATTCCGAAGTCAATACCCGTACGCACGACACTGTTAAAGCTAAAAATTATGTTTGCATTAAAAAAATGTGCAACTTTATTAACTTGACTATGCACTAAATATCAGTGAAATATCTGAAGCGGATTTGAAAATATTAATTAATTTCCATTTTTTTCCTGAAACTTCAACACCTCGAGTTTTTGTAAGGAAACATTTTTGGATCATAGTTTATAAAGCAAACTAACATTAATTTTTCATGTAGATTCACACCCTTAAATATTCGCATATCATTAAGGAGCACGGTGTATATTGCTGGTATAATAATATACTCCACACTGTATACCAACCTGAACAAATCCCTGTTCCCGATACAGAATTTGATACATAGGTTGTTCCTTATATATTCGAACTGAGCAGAATAAAATGCTTCCTCCACAAGGGAGTCCTTCCTTCGATCACGGAAAGACACCTTCTTCTCAGGCTTCTTCTCCTTGTCACAACACACGTGTCGGCAATAGTACTTGTCGCCAGGTGTGGTGTTATACGCTGGTATCTCTTTGACTTTTGACCGAAGATACGGTTCCGATTTGAATTTCTCTTTGTGTTTCTCTTCCAATCTCGCTTCCTTTGCTGGATGTCCCTGTTTCTTCCGTTTGGTTTCCGCTCTGCTCATGTCCTTTTACGCTGCATCTGCAACAGAAACAAAATAATTGACACATGTTTTTCCAAAGGTTCAACAAAACCAACCGCTTCGTTTCTGAGATGATTCCTATAACAATTACATGGGCTTTTATCAAGAAGTTATTTTTCTTACACTGGAGCAGCCACGCAGACAGAAGCCTAAATACCAGGGCTGCTAGTCTTCTTTTTACCAGCTCACGTACAAGTGTGATGCAATGATAAGCAAAACTGTTGATCGGATTGATCGTGCATGAAATCAGGTCGTTGTTGTGTGAGCGGAGCAATGTGGGAGCCAAGATCGATCCCTGGGGAACACCCGCGCGGACATTGTGGGATAAAGAAGAGAACCCGTCAAATTCGACGGATATCTTGCTGCCAGAGAGGAAGCCAGCCATCCAACTGCAAAGGTTCTCTGGCTAGCCATGGGATGAAACTCGACATCATGCCACAGATGATCGAACAGTTTCGTAATATCACGAGCAACAACATGAGTTTTCAGTCATGTTGTTATATCACCAAACAGGTATGCACAAAAGATGTCCATAAGACTCTTTTTGTGTATAGCTATAGAATGAACATTTTATCTCGTAACGGCTAAATTTCTAACAATTCCATTCAAATTGTTATTGTCATGTGAAACGTGACATTTGGCCAGCACATCATTTTCAGTTCTCACGGATGTATATTATACATATAAGGTGCTATAATAATTCACACATGTTTACTTTTGAGTAATATAACTGCCGCTTTCTAGATACATAATCATAATAACCTGAAGTATCTCAGCTTCTAGGTGTGTTTCATTTTTATAATAGGGTGTATAATCGTAGCTAGAAATGCCATGAAAACGCTGACGATTTGTTCTGTGCACAAGTGTCATCATATTATGTACTTAAGTTCATCTAACGAATGTTCAATATATAATATTTCGAATTCGGTTGACATATTGGTTCCTGAGGATAGTCACCATCCTGCTATTACATTTTGTTTTAAGCATGTTTTACTTAAGCCATTAATGCACCAGAGCCGTTGCCTTTACAACTTTAATAAAGCCGACTATACTTCTATAAATAATACTCTTTTAGACATAGAATGGGAAAAATTATTTAGTACCAAATCTGTAGATGAAGCTGTAGCCATATTCTATAACATACTCAATGAAACTATTCACAAATTTACACCAACATATAAAATTCGAGGAAAATACCCAATATACTTTAAACTTGAAACAATACAAACAGTTAAGAGAAAAAATAAGTATCATAGACTATAAAACGTTTTAATGATCCATACTCATATAAGATATTCTGTGACCTTAGAGCCAAATCAAAAATCTTAATTAAGGAAAACCTGGATGAATACATAACAATGATGGAAAACAATATATTGAACGACAGCCGATACTTTTGGAAATACGTTTCAAGTAAGAAAAAATGTAATGTCTCTATACCTAGTTCTATAAATAATTCAAACTATGAAGTTAAAACAGGAAGTGGGGTGTGTAATGCCTTTGCTGATTTCTTCGCAAGTGTATATGTTAAATCTAAACATTTTTATTTAAACAAGGATGCTAGTCCTATTGATGTTACCTTAATATCCATTGAAAAAATATATCAACAAATAGTGTCCTTAAAATTAAAAAATCAGTAGGCCCTGACGGCATACCTTCTGTATTTATAAAAAACTGTTCAGCTAGCTTATGTTTACCACTTCACCTAATTTTCAAACTATCATTAACTCAAAGAGTCTTTCCAACGAGATGGAAAGAAGGTGAAATATTGCCTATTCATGAAGGAGGCGATAGACATCTTGTGGAAAATTATCGACCTATCACTAAACTTTGTATTTTCTCAAAAATTTTTGAAAAGCTGATTTATGATCCTATCTTAAACATTACAAAAAATATCATTACGCAACACCAGCATGGATTTTTCCCTAAAAGATCTGTAGAGACGAATTTGATGAGTTTTATAGAATATGCCTCTCACGCAATAGATGAGAAACTGCAGGTGGATGTTATTTATACCGACTTCAGTAAGGCTTTCGACAAGATTGATCATTCTATCTTGATGGAGAGACTTGCTGAGGTGGGTGTACATGGTCCATTATGGCAGTGGCTAGCATCGTATATAAGTAATCGTAAACAAGTGGTGACTATCAATGGGTATCGTTCGGAGACATTCTTAGTAACTTCAGGCGTACCACAAGGTAGTCACTTGGGACCATTGTTATTTAACATATACATGAACAACCTTACTTCTGTTTTTCATTTCAGTAAATATTTGTTATATGCTGATGATCTAAAGATATTTACTATTGTTAGAAATGTAAATGACGGTGTAAAGCTTCAAAGCGATTTGGAATCTCTGCAAAAGTATTGCACTGAAAACAGTATCTTCCTGAATTTAACAAAATGTCATTACATGAGGCTTACTAGAAACATAGCGAACACTATAGATTTCAGATATAAGATAGGGACGGCAGAACTGGAAAAGCTTCATGTAGTAAAAGACCTAGGGGTATACATTGATGAGAAACTCTCATTCATCACCCACGTAGAGCACATCGTAAATGATGCAAATAGAACACTAGGGTTCATAAACAGGACATGCAGAGAATTTACGAACCCAAAAACGCTTCTTTCATTGTACTACGCTTATATACACAACAAACTGATGTTTGCATCAGTAATATGGAATCCGTCTTACAATGTACATATAGTCAGGATAGAAAGAATTCAACACAAATTTTTGAAGATGTTAGCACATAAAACTCACCAACCTGTTACAGATCATTATACGCAAATTATGAAACAGTTCAATATGATTTCCTTAAAAGATAGAAGAACGATTTCTGACATTTGCTGTGTCCATAAATTGTTGAATGGCCTCACTGACTGTCCGGATCTTTTGGCAAACTTGAACTTTAACACTCCTGATAGAACGTTTAGAACCTATCATCTGTTTAGAATACCGTTCCGTAGAACCAATCTTGGTCTTAATTCCCCTTTGTTCAGGGCTCAAAAAAATCATAATAATTTCTGTAATATAGATTTATTTAACATTAGCTTGACCTCCCTGAAAAAGGCTTTAAAGTATGAGTATTACAGCTCTATGGCAGACTAAAATAGAAATGTTTTATTTTTTACATAACTCAAGTTATCACCTCCAATATCATTTCTGGTATAATTTCAATTTAATTTTGATTTCAGTTTTAATTAAACGTAAGTAAATGTTAAATTATGTATACTCCTTTTATTAAAAAAGTTAAATGAATAGTTAATTGCTTATAATTAGAACTACTCACTCAGTTTATGTTGTTACAACAATATCGGAGGATAAAAAAATATTAATATTGAAGTATTCAATAATGTAATATATGTATATGTATACGATATTTTATGTAAGTTTAGTTTTAGTTCACTGAAGGTGTGTGTTGGGTTTACCTGTTAACACCCCAAACTGTATATAAATAAATAAATAAATAAATCTACAAAAAAATTCATTATTATCAAATCAGCATTCATCTACTTCGTTGAAGTATCAGAATTAATAATGTTCCGCCGGTAACACGACGTATCAGAGTCGGTGTCCCTCAGGGTTCGGTTCTTGGACCAATCTTTTATTCGCTTTTTGTTAATGACGTCCATTGCCCCAACAAATGTGAAATCCTTCTCTATGCTGATGGCCAAAATTACATTTTTCCACAACAACCAATCTGTAAATTAATTTTAGGATCAATTTAAAATTCCCGAAGTTTTCGAGATATTTGTTTTTTAAAGTTCCAACGCATTATTTGAACCATGATGATAAAACAGTTTTATAACATAATAATCAAGTTGCTTTGGATAATATCTGAGTAGCGTTGCTATGATTTTTAACAATAAAAAATGAGGATGGCAACAAAACTAATCTTTGCTGCACTCTTCAAAGCATTTGGATGTTATTGTTAACTTAAAATTGTTCATGAAGTTTATAGCAATATTATGACAAGAATAAGAAACAATAGCAACGCTACTCAGATATTATCCAAAGCAACTTGATTATTATGTTATAAAATTGATTTATCATCATGGTACAAATAATGCATTGGAACTTTAAAAAACAAATATCTCGAAAACTATTAGCTTCAGGTACTTCTAACAAGTAAACTTATTTGTTGTGGAAGTACGAGAAAATAATATTTTTCGGTCAGTTGTTGTATACAGGGGGTAAGCACAAAAAAGTTATTTACCGAATTGTAGCTTTGACACCCTGTACCTCTAAAAATATCAACTTTTGGACTAAGGTATGATTAGGTCATTTCACATACAGGGTGGCGCATCGAAAACGAAACAGACGCATCAAAAAATCACGTTAACACGTGCAGCCCCCTGGGCGGGGGTGACACCAACCCTAAAATCTTAAATGGAAAGGGGGGTCGAGTGATACCTTATTTTAAAGGTCTTGCAATTCCCTTTTAATGATGTAAAATACATGAGCTTCAGTTCAGTAGTTTTGAAGATTTATTGATTTGAAGCTTAAAGTAGACTTTAATAGGTACATCATATTAGTTTGTACTACTTTCAGAAGAATTTGACTAAAAGAATTTACTTAATAAGTAAATGCTTTTCTTCACTACCACCCTTGGTTTGTTATCATTTTGCTGTTGAAAATAGCTATTGGAGCGTTTTTTTGTAGCAATAGAGTTATTTCTTGAAGAAAGATAAGGAAATCTCGTACTTATTTTAAATTTTAAAACTTTGTTGCTAAAATAACTTGTAACGATTTATTACATTAATTAACCATGGTATATTCCACAGCAGAAAAAGTTGAAATTTTCGAAATATTTTTCGGAAATAATCAGTGCGCTAATAGAACAGCATAAATATTTAATGAGCGACATGAGGACAGTAACGTGCATCGAAAATGTGTTCTAGAACTTGTAGCTGAATTTCGAGAAACTGGGTCAGTCGCCAATAAAAAATGCAACATTGAAAATCCCATAAGGAACGAAGCAATAGAAGTGGAGGTTTTAGGGCTAGTT